GAGGCCACGCGCGCGCTGCCGCCCGCCCTCCCACTTACTTGGGAACGCGGAGGGCGGGAGGGGGCGGGGGGTCCGCCGAGCGCGCCGCCCTCCCGGGGGTCGCACCTCCTTCCACTGGGGGAGCCCGACCTGCAGGGGTGCGTGGGGGGACGCGGCGGCACGTGGCCTCTCAGGGCCCTGGGAGCCTCGGTGAGTGTTCAGGGGTCCCCGCCCCGTGGGGAGGGCCAGCAGGGCAGGAAGGTCAGCTGGGGGGGGCAGCCCTGCCCCGAGCAGGAGACGACGGGTGCCCGTGGTCAGGCTGCCCCCCCAGCCCTGCTGCTTGCGCTAAGTACCCCCGAAGTCCTCGCTCAAGCTCGCCCTCGCTGCGTGACCTTGGGCAGGCGCTGCACCTCCCTGTGCCTCAGTTTCCCGGTCTCAGAAGGGAGGGTAATAGTGACCCAACTGGGACGATGTGGGGAGATGGGCCCCCCGTCTTGCCCTCAGTAAGGATTCAGAAGCTGTTGGCTATGACTGTTGACTCCGGCTTTACAAAGGAAACCGAGGCTGGGTTTTAATAACTTTGCCCAAGGTGGCACAGGCAGCAAGTGGCAGAGCCCAGGACTATTCTAGAAAGTTCTGTAGTGAAGCCTTTCCAAGGTTTGTGGCAGTTAGAGGCCTCTGTTGAGGAAGTGATGTGGTTGGGCACTGGGCTCTGTCCTCGGGTAGATGGGTGAGGTGTCCCCGCTAGGCTCCCCAAAGCCGAAAGCAATGGGCTTCCAACCCCAGCAGTGCCTGATGCCTGTGGTGAGAATTCCCTATGGCTCTGGCCCGTGTGGCTCAGTTGGAGCACCGTCCTGTGCACAGAAGGGTTGTGGGTTCGATTTCTGGTCAGTGCACATGCCCAGGTTCTGGGTGTGTATGGGAGGCAAGCCATTAGTGTTTCCCTCTCACATCAATGTTTCTCTCCCTCTCCCTCTCTCAAATAAAAAAATGAATACATTTTATTTTATTTTTTAAATATATCTTTTTAGATTTCAGAGAGAGGAAAGGAGAGGCAGAGAGAAACATCAAGATGAGAGTTGTCATTGATCGGCTGCCTCCTGCATGCCCCCGACTGGGGATCGAGCCTGCCACCAGGCATGCGCCCTGACCAGGAATCGAACCGCGATCTCCTGGATCCTAGGTTGATGCTCAACCACTGAGCCATGCCTGACCGGGCTAAATAAATATTTTTTAAAGAAACATATCTTCAGGTGAGGATTAAAGAAAAGTTTTAAAAAATAATTCATTGTGGATTTTGTCTGAAGCCAGAGCACAGCTTGGACTTCATCAGCAGAGAGCTGTGCACAGGCCTAAAGACGCTGCAGCCCAGGTCCTGATGATCAAGTAAGTCTGAGCCCAGCACCTCAGAGGAGCTGAGGGCCAGGGTCCTACAGGTCTCCCTGGCCTGAGGACCCGGTTCTCCCACTGCAAGACCACGCTG